ACAGACGGGTGCGACGCCGTAACCCTCAGCCCCAGACACTTCAGCAACTCGCACAGGCACTACAGGCAGAGTGGGCTGCGATTGGGCAACACGAGATTCTGAGATTTATTCGTTCGATGCCGAGGCGATGCCGTTCAGTTCTGGATGCCCACGGTGGTCACACGAGGTATTGACTTCAGCGCCACCACACGTCTCCATGTGACACTCAAACAAACTTTCCTCGAGTTGGTGCCAAAGACGGATAAGTCTGCATTCCCAGTGTGCAATTTCGCTATATTTCATTGACTCATAAAGCCTACAAGATGTTTCAAAATAAACATATAAATACAGTTGAAATGCCTATATGCGTTTCTTTTTGGGGAGAGTATATATGCAAAATGAGTAAATAATGAATATATTCTTCTTTATTATTATTCCCTTTTTGAAAAATACATGGTTGAATTAATCACTTATGTGTTATACATGTATTGGATCTATTTATTATTAATTACATAATGTGGTAAACAACAATTTTCTAGTTACTATTACTGGGTGTTCAGTTTTTTTTCCAACATACAACAGGAGAAAATGGGGCCAAATCGTCAAATTATACGTCATCAAATATGCTAAAATAAAGATGCTAACTATATTCAATCAATGTGGTCGTTCAGATCCATGTTTTATGTGTACGATTTCGACACAATAGTGAGCTGACACGGAATATCAACGCACATGTCGGTGTTGAAAATGGGGTCTTTGTTATTGTAACGATTTTCGTGTCTCGAACCTGCATAAATAACGTTTTCGTACACTGAAAGATTTACGGAAACTGTCGATGTTTACCGAAGAGATGCCAGACGTGTATTCAAAGCAGAGGGTAGTGCTAATGCGAGGGTCAGGGTTCAAATATCAAAGCAGGTAGACAAATTGAATACAATGAGCAGAAAGGTAAAAGAATAACCTACAAGCACAACACAATGTTTTGTGAAAAACGTAAGTTTTGATTGAACCGCACGTTAAAATAGTCGGGCTGTCCGGTTTTCGATCAGGTTTTGAGCATCGCGAGTGTCACCCATTGAGTATTTTATGTAATGAGTGTAGCGGTAGAATTTTGTTAAAAATTCATTTCTTCACCAATCCCGTTGAAATTTGAAATAAAGGTTAATCATTACATAAAAAAACAACACATACGATTGCAAAAGTCTAGATTTTTATTTGTAAAAATTATTGTCCAAACAGTGATTCGAACTCCTGTGGTTATAATGCATACTATAATCGATATTTTAACAAAGCGCGACACGCGACAATGAGTGAGTGAGTGGAGCAGGGAGTGAGTGCAGCGGGGAGTGTGGGAGGGAGGGAGGGAGCGAGCGAGCGAGGGTTGATTTCTGGCAATCCAAGGGTACGCAACTCTGCCAAGCGATTTCACCGGTTGTAATATCATAATGGTAACTGTCCATCTGAATGGCGTTTTCCCAAGAAGAATATCACGTTCAAAGTCGACCTAAACTGTCTTTGAGGTGCTGGATGGTTAAGTGATATTACTATCTCATTCTACATGGTATCCATCCACTGCTGGCTGAACAGAGGCAGATGTCGGACAAATTCATCAGCGTCGGACAGGACTGTACCAAGAAACTCTCTTAGGCGCCAAACTGTCGAACATAGTCACCCATTCGTGGACATCACTTGATGTATCTGCTGATGTGGCCTGAATTTTAACAATATTTCATTTTTTCACAACCTGCCAGCTTGATATCGGCGAAATGTCCAAAGTGATGAATGTGTATGGTGCTGGGATTCGAACCTATGATCATAGTTTTCTGGTGTGACTAAGAGACACAACTCTGCACAGCAAATTGACCCGCCTTGAATGACAGGGCCGTCATTACAATGAATAGTAGCGCTAATAATTTGTCTTGCTGCTAAAACACACTTGATTGGCTAAATACATTTACAATGTATAAAAGAATAAAGCAACAATGAAAGATGTGTATTAATTTCAAGAAAAGCAGCCCCCATTACCATTACCAGTACTACTTCATTTTAAAAACCACTGGAGGTAACAAAAGACCAGTGAAGTGTGAAATAGAGTATAACTTTTCCTGCGCATGCGTAGTGTAATTGACTCTCTACGCATGCGCACCGGTAATCGAAAAGGGCGACAACGGGACAATGCGACATATTGAATATGTCGCCCTGTTGCGTGTCGCGTTTTAGTCAATTTTTAGGCTTTTTTTTACTCATGTTAGATAGGGCGACAATGCGACAACGCGACATATTTTGACATTGAAAATTGTCGCCATGTCGCGTGTCGCCCTTTGGGGGAATAAAAAAAATATTATTCAAAACGCGACATCGCGACAATGCGACAAATGGGCAAAATGTCGCGTTGTCGCATTGTCGCGCTTTGGTTAATTTTGCCTCATTTTACTTGTTTTTGAGAGGGCGACAACGCGACAATGTCCCTTCTCGGATTCCATAGTTTTCTGATTTAGAAAAAGCTGAAAAACTTAATACATATTTCGAATCAATGTGTCGTTTGAATGATAAAGATGTACCATTACCACACTTTCCCTCAGGGACCAAAACGCAGTTAGACAAAATAGTAATTTCTAAGAAGGAAATATCTGATGTTATAAAATGTTTGCAGCTAAAGAAAGTTTCAGGGCCGGATAGAATAAGTCATAAAATATTGAAGAACACTGTTGATTCTATATCTGAGCCTGTGTTTACTGTTCAACTTATCATTGCAATATAGTGTGTATCCAACTATGTGGAAAAGTGCATTTGTCATGCCACTGTATAAGAAAGGTGATCACTCTATTGTTTCCAGTTATAGACCTATTTCTCTTATAAGTTGCATATGAGAAAACCTTTTTGAAAGAGTTTATATAAACACTTGTATAACTATTTCCATGTTAACAAACTTTTATATAAGTACCAATCAGGGTTTCAAGCAGGTCATTCAACTGTCCATCAATTAATTGAACTTTAACATCATATTTGTACATCTCAAAGAAAAATATTGTATGGTATTTTGCGATGTATCCAAAGCTTTTGATCGTGTGCGGCACAAAGGGCTTGTACTTAAATGAGAGAAGTACGGTATTAGAGGATCGCAGTCAACACGTCTTTGTAAATGGAGCTATATCCAAGCCCAGGTATTTAACAGCTGGTGTCCCCCAGGGATCAGTATTGGGACCCTTTTTGTTCGTGGTCTATGTTAACGATGTTGATGATAAATTAGATTGTGTAACAAGACTTTTTGCTGACGACACCTCGCTTGGAAAATCATCGAAAAGTACTAAAGAAATCGAAACTTCTCTTAATGCCAGTTTAGACATTATATAGCTGGAGCAAAAACTGGTTTGTCTCTCATATAATCCTGAAAAAACAGAAGCAGTGTTGTTTTCCATGATTGATGAAACTGAATAATTGAAATTTATTTGTGACGGAAAGCAAATCAATTTGGTACACAATCATAAACATCTCGGAATAACATTTGAAGCAAACAGCAAATGTTCTTGTCACACTAATAAAGTTATCAAGTCATGCTCCAAAATGATATCATCAATGCGAAAATTGAAATATTTACTAAACAGAAATACAATCAACAGTATTTATAAGATATTTATCAGACCACACTTTGAATATGCTTGTGAATTATGGGATGGTTGTAGGAAAACTTAGAAAAACTTCCGTGAGAAGCTGCCAGAATAGTTACGGATCTTCCTGGATATACCTCACGGCAAATTCTATATTATGAGACAGGATGGGAAAGACTGGATGACCGAAGAAAAAGAAGAAAACTTTGTCAATTTTATGAAATTCAAAATAATTTAGCTCCTGTATACTTAACAGATATTACTCAAGATAGTGTTGGATCCAGATCTAACTATAACCTTAGGAATGCTAACAATATTATCCTACCTTCTGCAAGGTGAAGACTTTCGTATGATTTTCTTTTCCATCAACTGTAAGATTATGGAATAATATTTCTGAATCGACCTTCATTACAAAGTTTCAAGTCGTATTTAAAGAGTGGGCAACCTGTAGCTCCATCATATTACTCGTTTGGAATTAGAAAATTTAATATTATACACACAAAGTTGAGATATATGACCAGTCAGCTAAATTATGATCTGTATCGTTTCAACATGAAAGATTCTTCTTCTTGTTACTGTGGCAATGCTTGTGGAAATGCACATCACTTCCTAGTAGAATGTAAACTATACAACATTCATAGATATTAATGTTACATTTTAAAAATATTGTAAAACGTGACTCTCCGATCACATTGTCATGAATGTTACTTGGAAGTCCTGATATGACTATTCAACAGAAGGAATACGTTTTCAAATTGTATTCATCAATCAAAACTTTTTGAGTGATATCATACGTTGTGTCCCTTCGTCTCTTCCCTCTTTTACTTTCCTATCTCTTCTCTGCATTCTTTCCTAAGATGTATATAATTGAAAATGTATGTATGTAAATATTAGGGAGCGGGTATTTTAAGTTGGACAACTTTCACATTTGTGAATTAAACATGTTAACTTTCTGAACAATGAATGATATGGTGTACTTAAATTGGGAGATTGTTCATGTTTACTGTTTGAACAATGAATGATATGGTGTACTTAAATTGGGAGATTGTTCATGTTAACTGTTTGAACAATGAATGATATGGTGTACTTAAATTGGGAGATTGTTCATGTTAACTGTTTGAACAATGAAGAGTGACACAGGACTGCTAAATACCAGTCCGTTGTACATATTTACATCTCGTGCTTCTACTCATGTACATGTAATATCATGTAATATTATATATGCACATCTTGTGTCTATATATCGATATTCTTGCCTCTCGATCAAAGTACTTGTACAAAGTTTTGTTTTAACTTTAAATCCGATTAAAGTAATCATTACCCACATATTCTGGATTTCGTATTTCATTTCTAGTTCAACTTAATAGGAAATGTTGCACACAGAGATTCATACTCTCAGCTATCGCTTTTCAGGTATATCCACTCCAAAGAGAAACCTTTCAAGTGTATGGAGTGCGGAAAGGGCTTCTGTCAGTCCCGTACACTTGCTGTTCATAAGGCTCTTCATATTCAGGTGAAAATATATTCAAACTGCTAGTCATGTTGCCTCAGGTTCATCTTTCACTATTCCGCGAAATGGCGGACAAGTTACAAGTGTAGGGATGTATGGTTAAAATCAGCTGCATCTGTGAATGGGCAAAAATATCTGAAACCGTGTCAGTTGTAAGAACTAGACCTATCATGTAGACCTTTCATTTAAAAAATATCCAAGATAAATATGCAGATCTGAAGATTGATTTCTATCCTATGGATGCAGCATGGGACCATTGTGCACAGATTCAATACAGGAATTCGTTTGTTTGTTTTGAGGTTTTTTTATAATTGATATTTTCTCATAGATACGATGGGATAACCTTTGTGAGTACAGTGGTCCCATGCTGAATACAGGACATAGATATTCAATTTCCAACTCAGATTGCGAACAGTTTTAGATGTAACTGTTATTGTTTCTTCTCAAACTCTCCACTGGCCAATTAGATAGCTAGACAGTGCGACTAGTAGCAATAAATGAGCTTTTATCAACATATTAACAATTTGCTCTTCTACATTGTTTTTTCTTTGTCTACATACACAGAGTTTACCCGGTCACTCGTGTCCAAGCTGTGAGAAGTCCTTCAGTCAGCGGAGCAACCTGAAGACACACTTGCTTACTCACTCCAATGACAAGCAGTACTCCTGCAGAGTGTGTGCCAAGATCTTCCGCAGAAACAGTGACCTGCGGAGACACATAGCCATGCATAAAGAGGAAACACAAAGATGAAGTTGATGATACAACTGATACTTGAATCACTGAATAGTTGGATCAGTGTTGAACATTACATATAATACCACTAAACCACAATTGTGTTTGTTCGTCCACACTTGATCATTTGTATTAACATATAAAGACGCAGCCGTGGTTAACCGTCACAATTTTATAGACATTGTATCAACGATGATCATCTGAATGAACAAGACAATGCACACAGACATGCAGGGTCGGCTCAGCACATGCTTATATATAGATCATACCAACAACGTCTTGATGGGTTCAGTTATGTTCTGATTTGATATCAGTGTCTTCAGATACATCCTATCAAACAGTGTAACACATATATCATTTTGCATTTTGAATAAGATATTGTTTTGATTTGTAATAAGATAAGCGTAATTATAGATTATACTGCAAGATAAATAGGTTTATGGAAAGCGACAGGAACATGGTAAATCATAACTCGCAAAAAGCAATAAAACGCATACACGTGTCCACTTTGCAAACATCATTCTTCTTCTTCTTGACTGAGATAATTATAAAACATGTGCGTGAAATATGTTGCCATGTAGTAAAAAGGAAACATAATCTACACTGAATTCATCCTGTTTTCGGTAACACTGGAAAATTAATGATCATCTCGCATTACACATCATATAACGTCGACGTCAGACTATACGACTACTGCAGGGTAAATGATTAGAGCCTCATTATTTACATTCGGTATTTGAAGGTAAGGATGGGATGTCCGGGATGTGTATTTGAAAAAGTACATTTTCACTGTGTTTTTTTGTCAGTTGTCCTGTGAATGGAACCTTTTCCAACATGTTCATCGAAACATATTTTTTATTCTTTATATCTTGTAATATTGCCAGAGTGTAAGATTTCGTCTTGATAAGGCGCCCTCTTACCTTTCACATCTTTTGTTTGACATGGAAGTGTACAGAAGTTTTTTTACGTTTCTTAACTCCTTAGGAGGGCAAATGTACATTGTATGACATTTATATGTATTCAATATACACATGTATACTGTAATAAATGATTTTTTTCTGACAATCTGTCTGAAAGCGATGCTCCATTGTCGAGTACCTCGGCGGGTTACGTTTCGTGAAGCCCTAATGATTGGTTTTACCAGCAAAATATCTCTTAAACCCTCAGGAAGGATGTTGGCTTTAATATCCAGGTGACCCTTGCAGATTGAGATAATTCTGTTAGAGTCGACTGATGACGCCTTGACAGGACCTTGGCGACCGACACGTGCGTTCAACAATCTCAGCAGACACTTCCATCCATTTTCCAGCATGTTCTGACTGAGAACCTGGAGAATAAATGTGTTTCAGTCAACCAGTCAGCAGAACCAATATCAACCAATAAAAGACCTCCTTTGAACTTATCATCATATTTTGCAGTAAACCGAATGGTATTCCCAATCCCGGAAAGAGAAATATTATTATTGTTTTACTTATCACTTTTATGAGAGCGCCATCTAGTGGACAAATACACACAAATCTTGATAATACCTGAAATATCAATAAGACAAAAATATTTGATAATGAACAATCATATAATTAATTGTAGGTTTAAAATTATATATTAGTTCAATCTAAAGAGCTCTACTGTCCATCATGTCATTTATCATGAAAAGTAAAACAGATATGGAGTGAATCCGTCTGTATTTTCAAGACAATACCAGTTGATTTGACAAGGCATACTCCTAATCAAACGTCCAATGTCAAGTCGGTTTATTTTATCACATTCTTCCTGCAGGGCAGCGCAACGTCCGTTGAAAGAGTTCGGTGGCTGTTGACAGTGATGTATACAAGGATATTCTAGATATAGTCGATGGCTGACAAATCTGGATTAAGTGCTGGCCATGGTAAGGTGGTCATGTTCTCCTGTTGGAGGTACTCAGCATACGAGCTATGTGTGTTCATGCGTTGTCATCCTGAAACACGAAACAACATCCATGTCAGGGGTAAATGGCACCAGGATGTTGTCACGGTAGTACTGTCCAATGAACAAATCCGTGAATAAGCTGCACATGTAACAGAGGTATTACGTCTCAGGATAAAAACGACAGACGCTTGTTCGAGGTTCATAGGATTTATCAACTGTTATCTAGGATATGATAATCCCTCACAGTAGATATGGTGAATGGTGAAAAAATACCCTGAACAAAACATAAACATATGGTTAAATTACTGGTATACAGTTACTGATATCTGCATTTGCTTTACCCCATTAGTATTACTTCATCTAATTATATATTGCATACTACAATCATATATACCAGACACCAGCATGTTGTTACAGATACAAAGCCCATATGTAAGATGACATACTCATCCAAAATATAACATATACAAATGCATGTTGGCGAATAAATACTAAAATCGTCTAAGGGATGCAGGTGCTCCACGGTAAAGACACCAGTAAAGAATATGTGCCTCCAATACCTAATAATGAAATGGCACAACAAAGTACAATATGTATTATACGCACACACATACTTTTTCATACACACATGCATACGCACGCAGTAATACTTACCCAATATATGCACTACATACTACACAACCAAACATATCATAGAATTAAGTACCAAATACGTTAACTCATACAACACTTTGTATACAGAAAAACTACTAAACATTTTAACTAAATCATATTTTAAAGACCGCCTCCGTGGTGTAGTGGTAAGAGCGTCCGCCCGGAGAGCGGAAGGTCGCGGGTTCGATGCCCGACCGCGTCATACCAAAAGACGTTAAAATATGGTACTTGTTGGTCCCTGCCTGGCGCTCGGCATTAATGGGTACAACAAGGTCTGGTCGGCTCGGAGTCAGTATAATGTGTCTGAGTAGGGTATTCATGCTTCACTGCGGCATGGTATCTCAGTGGGCTAGCGCTATAAAACTATCTTCAGTCTGGCCTAGTACAAGCAGGCGCACATACACATACACACGCATGCACGTCGTCATATGAGCGAAATATTCTCAAGCACGACGTTAACCCCAATTTCACCTCACCTCACCTCACCTCACCTCACCTCACCTTATATGTTAAAAAGTAAACGAGAATTACCTTAAGTTGAAGTTTGGTTGTAATTCTACCAGGCATCCGAGAACAGGGAGATCAAGTGAGATTGCGCGTGAGGAATCGGTTCAGTTTTCAACTTTGTGCAGTGTCTTCAGCAGAGTTTAATTACGGGTTGGAGGGTGTGGCACTTGATCTCCCTGTTCCCGGATGCCTTGGAGAATTACGACCAACTTTCATCTTACAGGTAAGTCTCGTTTACTTTTTAAATTCGCCTTCGGCATCCGATCACGTAAGATCACGTGAGATTTTAAAGTAGATACACAGCACAAACCAGATCAAGATCCAACGTTCATGTAAATAGTCTTGAACATTAAGTGGAAACAGACTTTAACTAATGAACTAATGGGGAACATTCCTCAGTTATCTCCCTTTACAGCTTTGCCAATAGATGGCGCCAATCACTACGGTCCTCACACTCCGGCACAGCGATGACTTAACATAACATCACTGCCACAGGCTAATTTGCATATCACGTGACCGGACTTTTCTCTTGTTTGTAATCAAACGCGCATATTCATAATAAGAAGAGACTGGACTCACGAAAGCTTTTCGGCGCTCTCCTCATAATGTTTTACATTGTTACATATATATTATTCCACAACTGCGACAGTAAGGTCTATGACAGTACATATTTAGATATCGAACTGGCTGCATCGTTTGCTCTCCATCAGCTTCGAGGACAGCACGTAGAGCCGTACAACCTATGTAAACAAAGGATCGCTACGCAAATCGAAATAGTGTTACATGTTTTAGGATATTTTCTCAATGAAACTAAACCATTCTATCAAAGATGTTTAATTAGTTGTGTAGACTCGTCAAAAATAAAAGAGTTTAGAAATATGTAAATTGTATTGAATGGACGGTGCAAGATGTGACGAATCGTCACATTTTTCTGGCCTGTGGCAGAGATACTATGCTGGCTTGCCGCATGAAACTCTGGGTAGGAGAGTGTACGGTCCTAAGTATACTTCCGGCATAATGATGGCGTTCAAAGTTTGTTGCACGGTCGATTTCAAATGCGCAGCAATATTACGATGTAAATTTAGTAAACGTGCATGCCAACCGAAATTACGAGCAGGGGTTTTGAATCGACTCAGGGAAAAAGAATGTGTTGCTTAAGAGGGACACATGCTTTACAAAACTTTTCACGCGAAACATTAGGGGCCTCTCACTGTAGTAATCATCAAAACGTACAGTACACAATCTTTTCGCTTTACAAAGGGTGCAGCCAAAGGCGTCACAATCTGTAGAATGCCACTGATGTTATCGGCACCTCAGTGAAGATTAGCTATAAACATGATAAAACAGTTTCTGTAGTAGTTAGGCTTTATTCATTGTTAACATTGTTTCAAAATTTTCTACCGTACTTGAACACAGCTACTGCATTCTAATTTCAGGTTAATCTATTGAATTTATTTTCAACTATATTTCAATTATATCTTAGCAAATCATTCATCACTTGATATGGCCTGTTGATTTTACCTGCTTGTCTTCTCTCATACAACACCTGGTCATGCATCTTAAATACAGTTGTCAGTTTGACACTGAGTTACATTGAGTAATTTACTTAAACTTCTAATGTATGTGATATTTTCACATATGCTTATATCTCCTGATGACAGGTAGAGTAGGCAAGTTGGTTAACTTTCATTTGCTTCTTGCTTTTAAAAAGCAAGTTAGCATCATTATATACATGTTTGCAAAGTTGCTTATGTTTGGCAATAACACCTTTGCTCCCTTCATTGTTGAATTAAAGTTTACCAAGAATGCTAATACACAATTGACTTTTTACCTTTAATGCATCTCCCTATCGGTGCCTGTTGTCCACAAAGATGAGGCCCAGGTGATTCCAGAATACACATGCTACAGGTTAGTGTTTGTTTACTTTTGGTATAATTTGTCTGAATAATGTCTGGTGTACTTGTTGAACACACTTCTTTGTATCAGAAAAAAAATTAACCAGGAGAGTTACTTGCTTGATAACGGTGTTAGTAGCTACACCACAATGTCGCTCATATTATATTAAAGAAGTTGTATATCCATAGAACTCTCCTTGTTGCTCATCACACCAACTTCTAAATGCCACCCAGAGAAAGAAAAAATGTCAGCATATTTAAATTATGCTTCTCCATAGTTGAAACATCTGTTAAGAATAATGTTTTCCACCTTTGACCTATCGGAATGAATATGTTCATTATGTGACATGTCTTTCTCTACAATAGTAACTTACATCTGATAATGATACATTTTCTCATAACTGGCAGTCATGATGAGATAATATTACCCTGTATCAGTTTGGATAGTAATACTCCACTGATGTTTTCCAGGATGAACACGTCTGAGGCAACAGAGAGAAACAGATGTTGTATGACCAATTCTTTCCCTGGACTGTATCAGCTGACCCACTTAATGCTGGTGGATACTTGTGATGTTGAATGTAACATCAGTGAGGTCGCTGGGGAGGAAACAATCACCCATGATGATTTTGATTGCAAGAATATTGAGCCAAACATTTTCTCTCCAGACTGGGCACAGGCCAAATATGAAAGTAACTGTATATCAACACAGAGACAAACATGCAGTGCTTCCAGTACTAACTATTATGCTTAGTGCTGCAGCAATTTTCATATACACAGGACTGTCAAAATATTCAGACTTCACTGTTGTACTTCCATTTTAGGTGCATATGCATGTCACCTAAATTATCTGTACAGCAATATTGACAGTATGATTGTCAGTGTGGAAAACATCAACATGCATCTGATGTAAGTGTTAATCAAGGTTCTTCAAAGGAGACCATCATTGTTTACTGTATGTATGTCTATATTTATGAATGTCCATACATGCAGAATATAATATGTTGAACAATAAAAACTGAAATGACAACCCAGACTTTGTTGAGTTTTGTCTGATGATAATTGACACATGATAATAATCGTAAGTATTGTAGAATCTCAAAT